GTTCTCCTTGTTACTTACCCATAACTAGATTTTACTTCATTACTTACAGTACTGTAGTGATGGCTTTTTGAGTCAAGAATAATATCTTGGCTTCACAGTTTTTTTCCTGGAAGATGTGCTCATTTGTACCATATGTCAGGGGCCTGCTGTGAAGATCAAGAGTAACTTTACTCTGAATCCTAAAATTAATAACTAAGTGAAAGCTTAACTGCAGAAAAAGAAACAACAACAACAAAAAAAACCATAAAACCCAACACAATAATATAATGTGTCTGATGCATCTAATCATAACTAGTCAAGAGAGTTCAGCTACAAGTTTTTTGCCTCATGCAGAGGGTTGCTTGTGAGCAGTTTGCAGACTGGTTTCATGAGTTTCTTGGTGAACAGTTTTGAACGGTGAAGACTCAAAATAAGACTTCAGGGAAGAGTCAGCAACCTCCCTTCTCCTAGCCTTAAAGAATGCTGAATGTACAACTTTCTAGGGAATATTTACCTTGTTATCTTTACATTTTGCACTTAAAAAATAAAAAATAAAAAAAATCAACATTTGCTGTTTGGTAAGAGTTGTGATAGGGCTTTCTTCTTGGACCAAAGCTCAAGCATGTATTTTGTTATGTTAGGCTTTTTGATCTTGCTAGATTTCAATAAAGAAGCCATTAAAGATTCTTTCTTCTCATTAGCAGTAAAAGGATGGATTAAGTGTAATACTGACAATATTTCATTGTTATAACGGAGAAATGAAAGCCACTCAGACACACTAAAGAAGCAGTGCAGGGACTAGAATGGCGATTGCAAGTCCTATAGACTCTGGGTCTCAGAACAGGTCTTGAATGATGCTTTAAGACTCAGCAAGAGGCACGTTATTTTGTAAAGTTTTCTATATCTACACCTATTATAGCTGCTTTAATCTCTGATTAAGAAACAGCGTCTACAGAGCATTCTACTTTGCCAATTGCAAAGTAGGCATATCATATGATGACAGAAAAGCATCAGCAGCATTTAGGTCAACTTCACACTATGACTTATTAAGCCTTTTAGAAAATAAAGCTCAAAGACCTTATTAATATCAACAAGGTGTGTTATAGCCACTCTTAATGGCAGGGATTAACCTTGTCATGGTTTGCTGCTTTCGTTACAGTGCTAACAGCTAGCTAGGCTTATCATTTTGTTCACTATACTGTATCTTTACTGAGTGCAACGAATAGCTGATTTGGTCTTATTCACAGCAATGATATTTCAGGATTTCAACTTTCAGGATATTATGAATTTCTTCTGCAAAGCAGGGATCTAAGCCTTCAGATACTGTGGCTAATCAATTCTATTAATTTCTTGTTGAAGCAGTGAAATAAATTTTCTGACCTTGTATGTATTTTTCTGTGAATCAGCCAGGAGACTTGTGGGGATGTAAGAGAACTTCTGGTTAAAAACAAAACAACCCGAAACTGGAATACTGAGCTAACACTGTGAGTTTAGGGGGTAAATTTGAATCTTAGTAGAGAAAGGCATCAGATTTATTTCAGTGTCTCTGAAATCCGTCTAAGAGGGATTTGATATCCATATTAGTGTCCTATGCTGTATTAAAGCCAGAAGGGCTTGAACAAGATTGAAGCAGGCAGAGTGTTTTGGAAAAGGACTGCCACATCAGGGGAAAGAAAACCCCAGTGCTTATCTACAGCTTTCAACTGCTAAAGGAACGCTTCCGTTTTTTCCAGGCTGCCAGTATGGAGTTGGCCATATAAAGCTCAGCATAACATTTTTAAAGCACAGAGAGTAAAACTTAAACTGTAACTATCCAGAAAATGTGCATATTCCTTTATATGCAAGAGATTAATACAATTCTGTATACCACATCATCTTAGGCTTTTAACTTGTGAGTCTTCCTGCATGCTGGGGAACCTTTTAAGTCTTGATTTCTGCTTCCATTAGGCTAAATGGCAATTTTCCATGGGACATGTGAAAATACTGAAAACCTCAGAGACTCAAATAATACTTTTTAAGTAGACCAAATAACTAGAGAGAAAAACCTGCCAGAGTAGTGAGTCTTAATGACTCTAATGCACATTATGTTGGAAACTAGGACAATTAATGATTTAACATAATGACAGAACATGTAGAGAGATTTTAAGGATGGCTAAATAGATTTACTTCAAAGTTAGGCAGAATTCACATCTGGGAAGAAGTAATGCCTTTGTCTTCAGCCTCCCTGAAGTCAGTATTTAAACAATTTTCTTTCCTACATAACAGCTGGGGAATAAACTCAAGAGATTTACTGCATTTGAACCAAATCTCAAGGTGATCTATTTCAGTGCAGTTAGTACAAGCTGCTGTAAATACAGGGAGGAGATCAGTGTGTCTCTCCCTAAAGGAGGCAGGACAGGTAAAAAGGTATTTCTGCCACAGGGGCTGGTGTCTGCTAGGATGTCCTGAGGATTGTGAGACCTCAAAACATGCACAGAGCTGCTACTCTCATCTCATGGACTCAACCACTCCTCATTCATCTATTAGCCCTAGTGGATGGCTTTACTATGTCTGTGTTTTTAGTAACTTGATATCCTTCCTATTTATTTTTTTTTGCCTGCTCTCCATTCCAACTTGAACCACTTCAGTGAAGAAAAGGGGTGAGAACTGGATCTGATTTTTCCAGTTGAGCAGGAAAAACATCCAGAGAATATAGAATGTCTCTGGCAGCTCTTTTGCTTTCATATATAGCTATACCTTTCTAATACCCAAATTGTTTTCATCTATGCTGGGACTAGTGCCAGCAAGAGTTGGCCTAAACACAAGGAAACTGCAAATGACCTGCCCCCTCATCTCACTTGTACACAAGCTAAAGGTATCTGTGGATCTGGTACTATTTTCTCATTTTTGGACATCTTTGATGAAATTCATCTCATTTAGACACCAGAGACAGGAAGAAAACTTAACATACGTTTGAAATACAACACACTGCACATAAAGAGGGATCTGGAGGAATGACTTATATCCCTCGCAGAAACAAAGATACAAAAAAATCAAGGTTAACATAGACAGAGGGCAAACCAACTCAATGTCCCTTGTGTTTGTGTTTTGGCTTGGCTATAATTTTAGGGCCAGGGTACTGAGACAGAACTCAGAGAGCATCAGTTGGCAGCATGGCTACTGACAGATCTGGTGCCAAGGACTTGGTTGTCCTGAAACTGCTGGAGCATGAGCACAATTACCAACAATAAGGACACAGCCTCATCCAGCCTCATTTCTCCTCCAGGGAAAGAGCTCAGGTTACAGGATCATTTGCGTAAGAAGGCAGTTCAAGTCCCAGATCTGAACATACCCAAAAGATTTAGATTTCAAGTTTGAACCCTTTTCCTCACTGATGACAAATTAGGAACTAAACTAAAAGTGAGTAATCAGAGATGTCCCCCGTGGAACTGAGCTATTTTAATGTAGTCCAGAAGACTGAAAAAAAAAAAAAAAAAAAAGGTGTGTGAGCTGTGTGATGAGTGTGTCAAGAACAACTTTAGGAGAACTTTCCATTGTGTTTGGACGTAACAGACTCAAGTGCAGGAGATGGATGGAGCAGCAGCACTAAGAAACCTTGAGTGGTTGCAAAATCTTTCGGTGCTGGCGTTGCTTAGCTTTCCAATGGATTGCTCCCATGGGCTACTTTTCTGAAACATTTCTCTTGAATAGATTTCTACATATTTTCCTCTGGAGAATCTAGGGAAAGATTTACTGGAAGTACCAGGAGAGCTGTAACCCCACAGGCATTATGGCATGAGATGAACTTTGTGTCACTAGTAGGGAAAGCAAAAGCACTGCTGCAGAGCTTTCTCCTTACTCCTTCTTCCAAGCAGACCTGAGAAAAGAGCATGGTGCCTGCCAACCAGACCTCCAAAACTGAACACCAAACTGCATAAGATGGGACTGAGTAAGGTGGAAAAAAAAAATCTGCTTTCTCTCCTTTATGAATTATGCATAGGTTTAGGAAATATCCCTCACTGCATGTCAGCACTAGATCTAGCCTCTGTGTAGGGCCTCTTTTGGTTTTTTGAAGCCAAAAGTTTTGTACTGCAGGAAAATTAAGAGATGTGAAGTCTCAGTTCCTATTTAGCTTAGCCTGCAGATGAGGCTATGTCTGGTTGCAGTTTGCTAGCATGATGGTGGTGACACCGTGCAGGTGTTGTGTGGCCAGTCTCACTTGTTGGTAGTCAGGTCTGGTATCTCACACATTCCCTTTTCATCCATGTTCTTGCCTCTTTTTCACGAAGTTTGATGCTACTTCATAGGGCAAAGCTATTTCAAGATAATAATTACTAATTCTTTTCCATTAAAGGCAAAATATTTGCCTTATTTAACATCCTGAGTCTCTTCATTTTAACAGAGAGGTAGCAAGTACTGCTTGATTTCTTTTTCTTCTGAGCAAATAAAATTATTTATTCTATACATATACAGTAAATCTTATGCAAAATCTAACTTTGTGCTTCCAGTTGTGGCAAAGTGACTCCAATAATTGTTCCTACCACACCACAGTGAGTGCATCATTAGCACTTGTCTGTGCAACATTTTCCTAATTAATTTCCTAATTGATGCTTCACAGAAAAAGAACTTGAGGCACTGAGAGGGCAAGTGGCTTGCAAAGTCAGCTAGAGGCAGGTGTGAACCTCAGATCTGATAGTCCCAATAGGTGATTTGGCTGCGGAATTGTCCTTTTACAGACAAGCCTGCACAGCCTACAAATTCCACTCCATGCAATTGAGAACCTAAATCCTCTAGTACCTTTGAAAATTCACTTGAAAATATTTTCTCATCCATTTTTATAGAAAACACTGTCTTCTCTGTTCCCTATCTAGGATTGTACCTTTTTTGTAAGGGTGGACATGAGTTCAAGAATATCTTTGCCTCATTCTGCCTTTAAAAAAAAAATTAAAAAAAAAATGTAAGACTTGACATTTGTTCAACTGCTTTTTGCTGCCATCACAGTGTGTATTTACATTTAAGTCCTGCATCCTAACTAGGAGTGAATATATTTTTGCATAAATCAACCAGGAAGTCTGGAGTTTGCAAAAATCAAATAAGCAACATCTATTTTGTATTTTCACTTTTTGAATGTGAGCTATGATAAAACAAATTATTTTCTGAGTTGCAGTTGATGGAGGAGAAGTTGCTGGTAAAGCACAGACAGTAGCCTGTAAAATGCATGCTTTTTAGGGCAGCCAGCCAGTCCCCAAATTCTTCCCCTCCTGTATACACAACCTGCACCATTTTAATGGAACTTCAGCAAATGTCAGAGCCTTTCCCATTCTCTTTGCATTGCTAATGCATTTGTGCATTGCAAAACCTTGCATCTTCTTGAAAATATCAGCTGGTGAGGGGAGCGAGGAAATCCATATTCCTCTGGCAGAATCTCTTTGACGTCTCCTCTCCTCTCCTGTCATGCTTCTGTCTGTGTGAGGATAAATGCACTGCAACTGGAAAAGTGAGATAAATAGCATAAGGAGAAATCATTATAAACCCCAGTGCCTGAGAGGTGCATTCTCGGAAATGCACCAGTCATAAAACCTGACCAGGCCTGAAAAATAAAAATCCCTCAAATAATAATATAAGATCCCCATGGACCATTTTCTTATGCCTCTTCCACAAGCATGGAGCATTAAAAGATTGAAAACTCTTTTTCACTTCATTCCATACAGGCTGAAAAATCATATGACATACTCCACATGCATTTATAATAATAAACAGCGGAACAAAAGATTTTTCCTTTTTGGATCTGTGCACAGAACAAAACTTGTCCCTTCAAAATGAATTACAAATAAAAGGAATAGAGGAGGGTTATAGTGAAGCATTAAGTATTCTTCCCAACTCTCTTCGGAAAGATAAGTTGGAAATGTGCTGAAAACTGGTGCTTTTTTTTTTTGTGTTCATAGTTTATATGTACCCATAGACAATGTATATGTGTATATATATTTGTGTGCGTGGGTATGTAACTGAAATGCATGTCATACAGTTTCTATGGGCAGCAAGCTTCCAAAGGCTTCCCTTCTTTACTGAGAATATTTCAAGCGAGCAATGGATGTGAAACAATGTAAGAAACCTTGGGCCACCCAAGACGTCATGGGTATTGTTGTGCTGCATTTGTGGTCTTTCTGGGGCTGACACGCAGCGTAATGAGGAACAGCTCTCCTCCCCTGGTGCTCCTGTAGGCAAGTTGCACAACTTGTTTGTGAACTGTTCTTCCTCCCTCTTGGTAGTGTGATTGGTGTAACAATTTTGTGACTGTAGTAATCTCCTCAGAGAAGCCTTGCTGATGCAGTGTTATACTCATTAGGCTTTGCAGGTTGATTCCATCAGACTTCACCATCTGCTTTGATGGGCAATTTTCATTCATGAGAGGGAAGTGTTTTTTTTCTTTTCCAGAGGTTATTCACTGGATTATTAAGGAAACCACATCCTACAAATGGGGATCACCCTAGTAGAAAAAGCCAATTAGCACAAGTTGCATTCTGGAACATTCCTTTGCCAGCTGTGTTTAAAATAATGCCAAAATGATAGACTAGACACATCTATCATGAACAACTCATGTTGGCACTTGGCCCCCGACTTGCACTCTGCTGTCTGAAATTCCTGCGTGCAGGAGGCATGCAAGGCAGAAGGCAAGGCCTGCTCCTCGCCTGCCCTGAATGCCTCACGAGAAGTCAATGGCTGGTGATCCTTCTCCTTACACCTCCCCCTTCTTGCCTCCCATGAAGATGCCCCCTGGGACACGAAGAGCTCTCAGGCAGCTCCACACTCTTTCACCTGGTGGCAATTTTCACCTGGCTGCTTAAGTAATTTTTAACCACCAGTAAAGTAAAAACACTAAAACTGGTATAACAGATTGAAGCATTTCTTCTAAGAGAGGAAATATAGAACAAGTCTGTTTTTGTATTGTAACTGGTTATCTCTCTATCTTCTAGGTAGGGTTTAATTATCTTCTAATTATATTTTCCCAAGTTTGATCCAATTTCTTCCTACGAATTAACACTATTCTGATCACACATTTATGGATTTGCTACTCGTGACAAGCCCAGTCTGGCATTTTTATTATTCTTCAATTTTATCACTCCTCCTGTATCAAAGCTCTGTCATTAACAGCATTTTTACTTCCACAGTGAACTTCAGCTCAGAATTGAGACTGTAGTTTTTCCAAAACTTGACACAAAAACCTAAACAAACAAACAAACAAAACCACTAAGGTCTCGATATTGAGATTACCTGATAGACTGACCTTTCAGAGTCCTCATACATTCTTTTGGAAATGGTTTCCGTTGAGTATTTATTATTTTCTACCCACACTTAAATCTCTGAAGCTGCCTTTTTTTTAATGTCCTCATGCTCCTGTTCCAGTGCTGCCTGAATTTACTGGTACAACACATCTTGTGCCACTGTCCTAATAAGCACTTCGCTGTGATGTCAGTAGCAATCAGCATTCAGAAGCTTCCCCTACACTCCACAAAGCTTCTACCTACCCTGGCCAGTTTGGTTTCTTGCTTTTGGTAAGGCTCTTCAAGACACAGTTCATCAAATTCAAATATTCAGTATCTACTTTTTACATTGTTTTATGTAAGGAAGCATAAGACATGTCACGGTTTTTGGTCTTCCATTTCAGCTTTTGCCAGCTTTGCAGACCACAGTAGGTGGTTAAAAATTTACCTCCACTGTGCTAGAAGATCCATTTTCTCTCCCCTCTCAGTTACTCATCTCTTCTGATTGTACACTATTGGACTTCCTCAAGTTTCCTTTGAGAGACCTTTTCAAAAGAGACTTTTTCAAAACAATGATTTACAAGTTAAGTAAGTTTGCTTTTTAACTGCTTGCCAGGTTGAGAGTACTATTGTTTAAGAGCTGCCAGAAGTTCCACTTAAACTGTTAGTGCAGACAGTTGTATATTGATTTGCTCATTGATTCCTGCTTTGTCATCAAATCTCTTCTGGAGAGAACAGAGAAATAATTATTCTCTCTCACTCAGCAAGGAATATAAAATTCCTTTCTGGCATAGATGTTGTTAGTTGACATTTGATGTTTTCCTTTACATAATGTGATAAAGAATGTGACATAAAGTGTATTTCTGATCATGAATAAAATCTGAACAAGAAATACTTCAAAAGGTCATCCTTATAGGTATCTTTTTCTCCTGCTCTGAAACAATCAACCTACCCATCCAGCTGTGTTCATCTTGGCTACACAAATGCTGCAGACTGAAGTTAAAAGAATGCCTATGTCTAAATTAAAAACTGTACACAGCTCTGGGACAATGACAATGCCTCCAAACTCTTGCATTTCCTTTGTCCTTAGAGTGTCTCATCTCAGACTGTCAGAGAGAGTGTCCCCAAGTTCTGTCTTTGAAGACTTTTTTTTTTTTTTTTTTTTTTTTTTTTACATTGCTGATTAAATATATTTGCTGCATGAAACTCATTTTGAAATAGTCATGGACAATCACTGAAGCAAGAATTTATTTCAGACCATCTTAAGAAAAAAAATCTGCCAAGATAGAGTTAGGAACTGACGTTACAGATCTAAATCTAATAAATACCTAATTAGCTTGTGCTATGCAACTCAATGTTTTGCAATGCAGACAAGCCTTTTGGAAGTTTCCATTGCTGGTTTGGGAACATCCAACCTTAAAATTTGATGTAAAATTGTCATCAAAAGGGTGCAGAGGTGCACATAGTAGTAGAAAGTTTTTGGGTACTAAAGTGAAGACTGCAGAAGAAAGCAGAAGTTATAGTGGAGATAAAGATCAAGACAGGGAAAGAAGACAAAACATAAGATTCTTGCTTGAGCTGGGCAAAGAACTCTGATTGGAAGGAACTTTTTAGAGCATATTGATTTGCATAATGAATAAATGGTGTGTTGCTGCATAATGACTGAGTGACGATGGAGAGCTGACTCAGTATAGGTAATAGCTGACCATGATGGTACATGTAGGATCCTGCACATTAGGCAGAAAGGCAGATAGTATAGTCCTGCTCTTCATGCCAGAGCCCACCAGGCAGCCCTTCCTCTGACACAGCAGATAAAGTCCCTGCGTACATTTTTCTGTTGCAGTAGCAAGACATTTCTAAGATTGCAAATATCATTTTAAATGTATCTTTGACATGTTATTCCATTAAACAGAGAAGTGATAAAGAAAATGCAGAAATGATAAATATGTGGTTGAAGGAAATTACCAGAAACAGTATAACTTCTGGTCTTGATCTGCCTCTCACAACACCAAACCAGGGTTCAAGTGGCCTTGTATAACATCAAATATCTGCATTTGAACTTGGGATCTATTCAGAAACTACTAAGAGAAATGAACACTTCAGAGACATGATCCATCTGCTCTCTTTTATACGTTAATGCTAGGATGAGACGTGCTCTCTGCTAATAACTAGATAAAGCAGGATGAGACCCACCTATGCTGTCTCTGAACCACGTTCTCCATCCTCTTTGGTTTTGTAGGGGATTTATTTACTTGTGTATGGCAGTGAAGAAACATAAATCACAGGTTCCAGAAATGTGCAGTTGCAACCCCTGTGGGACTGTGTATAATCAAAGAATATTAGCATGTTATATTCACAAAATAAACAAGAGAGTTAGACAAAGCAGACTATGATAACAAAAGAGAATAAATAGAAGGCTTACCCCTATCCTGGGCTCACTCACAAAACACCAGCAGAGGCAGATCTCCAAAAGAGATCCTTCCCTACTAGTAGCCAGCTCTTAAATAGGTCTAGGAGGGGTGCAGCCAGGCTCCATCCCTTCTGGCAGCACAGGAGAATTGCCTTCACCTGTGCTCCTGTGCCTGACTCAGTGCTCATCTCAGGTGATCAATCAGAGGTTCAGGCTGTGACTCAGCAGTTCCCACACAGACTGAAATCAAAGAAATACGCTCTGATGTGCCACAGCTTTCTCCAAATGGAGGCTGCTTGGATATGCCTTTACCTGCAAAGCAACTTACCCACAAACCAGATGGTCTGCTCATGGATAATGGAAAGTTAAAAATACATGATTATGGCATGCCTGCTGACTATGACACATTTAATATCAGTAAATGAGATTTGGTATGTGCACTATATATCTATATTCTCATTAGAACTGATGTAGATCAAGTCAAGACAGCCAGCACAGCTTAAACAGTGACCCAATTCATCCTAAAGCAGACAGAATCTGAAGTATAAGGAACTCACTTCCTTAGTGAAGTTTAAAGTCATGAAAGTTGTCCCAAAGACAAAAAAGATGACCAGACCTCAGCTCTCGAGCATGCTATGCTGTGAAAGAGCTGCTACTCCTCACGCAGATGTCCTATGTAACCCCAGGCATCCCAGCTTTGCACCAGGTAATCAAACTTTGGGACTGATTCCTTCTGCAGTGGCTCATCAGCTGAGCTGGTCTTGAGACACTGGTCTTGTCCTGACCAGATTTCTACTGTGAGCACTGAGAGTTTGGACTCCATATGACACGTAGGCATCTACCTGCATATGAATTTATTTGTCTTAATCTGTGAGTTGAGTACCACCCCTAGTAAGTGCTGTCATTCTGTAAAGAATAGTGATTTTCTCTCCTTCAGCATCCATCTCATCTGACTCTGTGTTGAGGAGAATGGTGGCAGTGATGAGCAGCCCCCTGACAGTGAACCTGACTTTCACCATTTGTTTTTTGTGTTGTACAGAGCAAAGCTTATGATCTCTCCAGAACTACCTTTGTCTCTTTTGTGCAAGTAAAGCTCATGTTCTAATTCCACACATCCATGGCCACCCCTGCAGACTGATTTCTTTCATGGCACTCATTTTGACCATGGGAATGCAAGGTACCATCAGTGAGTCATTAGCTGCAGGTCTTGTAATGCAAATCTCAGTGACTTTTTACTCATAATTAGATATGTTCTGTGGCTTGAAGATAAACACTCAGATCTGATAGTGTGCCAAGGCAATTTATCAGCTTTTATGCACCATAAGATTGCACCAAGAACATGACTGCTAAAACCAACTTCCCTTATGAGAACAACATGAAAGGGTGCTTGGTGTAAATGAGAAAGATACTAGTAGGCTGCAGGTTTAAGCTCATCTTAGAAAGGATGAACTTATTCTATCTGACACATCCAGCTGTGCAAACAGCTGTACAGAGAGACCTGTAGTTAACTTCACTAATACATGAGGATTAGAATAGATCCTGTGCTACATATAAATGATACTTCTGCTTATAATCAACTTGAGTACCACAGAGGAAAGAAAGTACAGAGGGATATGAGTTATTTCTCTAGGGGTCAAGAAATAGGCTTGAAACCTCTGTTCATATCAGAACTTAGTTCTTTCACTTTCCACTGTCTTTTGCCTTTTTGAGGTAGAATTTATATGATAAAAATATATCCATTGCTAGGAAAGACAACAAGGACCATGCTGGCACTACTTCTGTAATGTAGCATTGAGTTTCTAACAGTCCAGAGATACTGACCTTCTTGAGTGACAGGTTGCTGTGGCTTAAAGAAAAGGGGATTGAAGCTATTATCCCTTCTTTTGAAACTGAGGGCATGCTGTGATCTGCAGTCACACTGGAGATGAGGATGTCCAGTGCTCACCGATTCTTTTGAGAGCACTTGAATCCTATTTTTCTGCAAAGCAGTTATTGCGACTCATTACATTTTAAGTCCACTGGATGACTGTAGTCAGGTCTGTGTTTGTGCTCACCACCTGCAAGAACATATGGCTCCAAAAAAAAAAAAAAAAGAAAAAAAAAAGAGCAAAACCAATTTAAATTGCCGTATGCAAGATCAGATGTTATCAATATTACAAAAAATACCAGTGTTTTTTATGGAAACTTTCTAAGGTTTCACATGATGAGCATGGAGCGTGCTGCTTCCACTAAAATTTCTACAGAGCCAAACCACCACTGGCATCTCATTAATTCACCCAGCTGTGACTACTCTGTATCAACATGTGTAGCTAACCTTTGTGCTCACAAAATTCACTCTGTGAAAACATTTTCCGGTGCTCCGTGTCAGACTCTTTCTTGCTGCTCTTTTTTTCCCCATTAAATTTTTTTCTTTTTTTTTCCCCCCTCAGTTTGAGATGTGGGATACAGTTTCCCTTTGGAGCATATCCCAGTGCTGAGCTGTGGAAACAGCAGGGGATGCTGTAAATCTGGACAGGGAGAGGTCTTCATCCTCAGTAGCTGAATGCTTTGTGGCCTTAGCAGGCAATGCTTCTTCTAACCTCTGTGACCTTTCCTGGTCTCAGACACAAACCTTTCAGTCTAAGGTGGAAACCGCACCATGATAACACACTTCCAAATCTGCAGTTCCTCAGTCACCTTTTCAAACAGATATCAAAGAGTACTTAGGGCTTTTAAGGCGCCTCCTCGTGACCTATTTGGACTATTTTACCTCTACGAAAGCAGAAATAAAAGAAGAAAAACAAAAATGTATCTGAATACAGTGTCTGAATTTAAGGATTTATTCTGAAATATATAACATTAGAACAGCTTGAGCCTTAGTTAAAAAATAGCCTGTTGCACTGTTTATGTAATTTCTGCTTTTAATGTTCAATAATGGATAACTGTTCTGATTAAATTGTTCAGGTTTCCATAAAGTCGGTGAAAGCTAGTAACTTTTCCTAATTTCTTTTTCTCTTTCAACATAAGGAATATATCTGATATGAGAGGGAAAAAACGTGCTTCTCAAAAGTCTTTTTCAACATACTTTTTTCCCTTTTGGAGAAAAAATATAAAGAAAAGTGATTGTTCTTTCTCCATGATGTTTTCATTTTTTTAAATCAAAATAGAAATTGTCATTTAATTCAATTTCCTTTTTATGCACCTCTCCCTAAATACTGGAACAAAGATATAATATCCCTGAAGTAGCTTCTCCATGCATAAAGGTTCATATCATCTTAGTTGAGATTTTTTTGCATTTTGAAGAGAACCACAATCCATTGTGTCAAGTCCAGTGATCTTTGTGGAAGAGTTTAAAAGGTGCATTCCTGAACTTTCTCGAGAAGAACAGAGAATTAATTGAATAGAGATTTCTGCTGTAGTGTAGAAACAGAGAGAAAACTGCTGTTCATATCGTGTATGTATATACATTCTCTATAGGTTGCTCCAAAATTATTGCCTTCTATTTATTTCCATTGGAACTATCACAGATACAAAGAACACAATAACACTATTTGATAGAGCAAATTCTCAGCGACAAAGCACTACTTTTCAACATAGTCACCACCATTAGCTATTTGTTTTCACCAGTGATGAGGAAGAGCCTGCGTGCTGCGCTGGTAAGAATCTGCACCAGTAGAGGTGACCCACTGTTTCATACATTGCTCATGCAGTGTATCTTTCATTGGCCTGAACAAATGGAAATCAGAAGGCATCAAATCTGGGCTGTACAGTGAGTGTGGTGGGTCATTCCATCCAAGATTGGGAATGTGCTCCATGGTCGTCATGGGGCCTGGCGTTATTGTGTTTCAAGTGAATGATTGTCTTTTTCTCTGGCCTGACTCTGGAAGTTTAAGCCTGCAGCTTAGTCAGCATCATGATGTAGCTGAACTGATGTTTTTTCTAGATTCCAAGAAAATCAGAGAGATCACTGCTTTCCTATCCCAAAAGACAGTGCACATAACTTTACTCACTGAAGACTGTTTTGATCACTTTCTTCAATAGGGAATTCATATGTTGCCACTCCATGGACTGCTGTTTTGATTCTGGTTCATAGTAGTGACACCACTTCTCATCACCACTAAGATCTAATCCTGGAAATCATCACCTTCAGCCTCAAATTAGTTCAATAGGTTCTGACAAACTTGCATACAGTGTCCTTTCTGTTCCTGTGTGAGCGTTAGTGGGAACCACCTAGCACAAACTTTGTAATAGTCTTCTGATTTGCATACATCAGTTCCACAGGATGGGATTTTTCAGGCTAGGTTAATGAATATAGATCAGATAATTTTGATGAAAGGAGGTGAAAATGTGCTCATTACCCATTTTCATTCATTCTCAGAATTGCTTTTTTTGATGAGATTATTTTACCATCAGCCTTTCTACACTGATTTTTACTTTTGTTTAAATAATTCTTAGATAATTTTGTCTGTAACTAAATTTGTAGTTTTTCTACTGTTTTGTTCCTTTCTCTAAGTAGAGAGATTTTCTTTTCATTTAGTTGTTTTCCTCTCCTGCCAAATAGTGTTTTTTGCAGTCTTGAAACAAGTATATCACTCTGGGCTTGCTTGTATTGTGGGATTTGATGTGTCTCATCAGAAGGCTAAAGAAGTCAGTTGTAACATTTTGGTACCAAGCTGATCCCTGTGGTGTCCCAGAAATCGTGCTGATGATTGTCTTGGTTGATTTATGTCATCCAACACAGTGTCAAGTACATAATGTTTATTTAGTATTATGACAAGATTATCTCCTATAAGATATTGAATTCTCATGTATGTATGTCAAACCAGACATACCTCTGCATTAGAAGAATAATAGCTGTTTTTGCAAGAAAATGGCAAAGGTCAGTACCAATAAGCATCAGGTTTTACAAAATAATAATTTCTAAT